ATTAAAAAGGCTGTCAGTTTAGTAAAGTTAACATTGTTCACTTAAATGAGGGGTAGCCAAAGTACAGCTTTGGGATCACATGCAGTCCCTTGGATAACTCTTTTGACAGGGGTGGACAGTGAATTACCACTTCTAAAAACTTCCAAGAGTGACCCTTCACTTATTAAATAGTTCGTAGTTCCCCCCCCTGTACTGGTTAACATTTTCAAATATAAATTTTCATTTAAAGAAAAGAACTGGCCTTCTGGTCACTTACTCCTTTAGTCCCTGTATTTTTTGGCAGTCTGTGCAATCCCTTGAGAATCCCAAGAGCATAAAAGTAGTCTCCTAGACCTGTTAAAAGTTGCTTACACCTGATTTACACAGAACATATAAATTCTCTGTAGACTGTTTTAGGTTTACAAGCATGCACATTTGTGATTTTAAAATAACTTACTGGTTTTTATTTTGCAACAATGGAAAGTGAAAAACACTTTCATTTTTTTCATAATTATTTTTATTAATTCTTCCTCTTTTAATTTCACAATGACAAAATATATTACATCTTTTATGGATTATTTTACATCCCTTCTACTGCTAAGATGATGAATCCTGTTGCTTAAGTTATTGTCAGCCTAACAAATTAGCACATCCATTAACCTACAGTTAATCAAATAGCGAAGGAAATTATTCAGTACACAACTGAGAAGCAGAATATTAATATGACGCAGGAGATCCATTATCTTTTTGGTGGTACAGGTTGAGTTTCCCTTGAGTTTCTGCTTGGAACTAGAAATGTTTTGCATTTTGGATTTTGGAATATCTGTATTTGCATATACATACATAATGAGATATCTTGGAGATGGGACCCAAGTTTAAACACAGAATTCATTTATAGTTCACATATACCTTATTTTCCTGCGTATAAGACTACTTTTTTACCTGCAAAATCTGTGGCTAAAGTGGGGGGGTCGTCTTATACGCCGGATATAAGGATAATGAGGATAGAGGTGCTAAAACTATATTTTGACCGGAAAAATGGGGGGTCGTCTTATATGTGGGTCGTCTTATACGCCGGAAAATACGGTACTTTATACACATAGCCTGAAGGTAATAATGTAACAGTTTGTGTACAATGTGAAGTTGAAGGCTTTCACGGCTGGCATCCATAGGTTTTTGTG